TGAAGAGATGAGGGGAGGAAGGCAGAAGGTTCTAAGAGAGAGATTATTGAGATCTTCTGGAAATAAGTGATGTTGTATATGGGTAAGATTTAAAAGATTAAGGGGTTTTCACNGTAAGATTCAAATTCTTCTAAGTGTGAAGAGCTCGCTAACCTGGGATTCAACTTGTCTAATAATGTAATAATTAGACAAAGTTTTAATAAAGCATTAGTTTTGGTGTATCAAAGATTCAATCAAGTATTTTAACTTGTTAAAATGGCTTTTTCTAAATTTCTAATTTTATTGTTATTATTATTATTTTGGCAAATGCTACACATTGTTCTTTTTTAGTCTACTCTAACTAAATGGTCTATAAGACTAAAATAAGGAAACAAATGATGTTCATCTTACACCCCCTGCATATCTTTAACCGGAAGTTGATAGTATAAATTAATATTTAGTTAATTACTCAGAAGGTAGCATTCTAGTGAAGTGATTTTTTTTCTTGTCTAAGTTTGAGATTTGTGGCCTCATTAAAACTATTCTCTTGAACCCGGGAGATTAAGTTTAGACTCACAAACATATGATCCACCTTAAGTAATTTAAGTTGAGAGGGAGACAATGACATGAAAGGGTCTGCCAGTATAACAACCTTTCTTAGTGCTAATGTCCCGGCCTGTCAAGTTCAATATCATTTCTGATGGCAGTTATAAAATATCAAACTATATCATTGTAAGTTTAATATCATATCTCTCTTTCCACAGATTTAAGAGGAAATTTCATGTCAGTGTTTGCACTGAATTGCCTATATCTCTTCAAACAATTCAGAGAAAGAAATCAGATAGCTCAGTTACTTGACTTTATTTTCCTTTCTTCCTCTTTGCATTTAGCAATCAAATAAAATGGAATGTTTTCACGATAATTGTAGGAAGTCTCTTTTTCTTGCTGACAGCAGCTTTTTGAAGTAATTGATATCTGCAGCTGTCCAAGGCCTTTTTTGGTTACTCATTACCTGGATAGCATTCATGGTCACCAAAATAGTTTCATTATGACTATATGTTTAATGCTGTTAACATCTTAGAAGGCTGTAAGCTCATGTTAGTCATTTTGTCTTAGTATCATTTCAAGCTTTATTTTGTAATTCAAAGTGACTGTACCTTTGTATTGTCCTTTCTCATGCAAATTAACCTTTCCTTTTTTTTCGGAATAATCAGGATTTCAGGTGTGCCACTCTCTTGGAGGAGGAACAGGATCGGGAATGGGAACTTTACTTATCTCAAAGATCAGAGAAGAGTACCCTGACCGCATGATGCTCACATTCTCAGTCTTTCCCTCTCCTAAGGTGTCAGACACTGTTGTTGAGCCCTACAATGCAACCTTATCAGTTCACCAACTAGTAGAGAATGCTGACGAGTGTATGGTCCTTGACAACGAAGCTCTTTATGACATTTGCTTCAGAACCCTGAAGCTCACTACTCCTAGTTGTAAGCCCTGTTCTCTCCCTTTGTGATATTCTATAGGGTTAATTGCACATGGATTCCCCTTTAATATCACTGTTTTGAACTAAGTATAACCCTGTAGAGTATTTGAGAGGAGAGTCATATGGAACTTAAGGGGTAGTAAGTTCAAAATAACAAGGAGTCCATGTGCAATTAATTCTATTCTATATCTTATTTTCCCACTTTGTGATAACTTGTACTTCTTATACTTGTCTGACCTCATTATTGCCCCATGTAACAGTTGGGGATTTGAACCATCTGATTTCTGTGACAATGTCGGGGGTGACATGCTGCCTGAGATTTCCCGGTCAGTTGAACTCTGATCTCCGGAAGCTCGCTGTTAACCTCATCCCCTTCCCTCGTCTTCACTTCTTCATGGTGGGTTTTGCTCCATTGACCTCCCGTGGGTCTCAGCAGTATCATGCCCTCACAGTTCCCGAGCTCAGCCAGCAAATGTGGGATGCCAAGAACATGATGTGTGCTGCTGACCCAAGGCATGGCAGATACCTCACTGCTTCTGCCATGTTTAGGGGCAAGATGAGCACTAAAGAAGTAGACGAGCAGATGATCAACGTGCAGAACAAAAACTCATCCTACTTTGTGGAGTGGATCCCGAATAATGTCAAGTCAACTGTGTGTGATATACCTCCCACTGGATTGAAGATGTCTTCGACCTTCATCGGGAACTCAACTTCAATTCAGGAAATGTTCAGGCGAGTTAGCGAGCAGTTTACTGCAATGTTCAAGAGGAAAGCCTTCTTGCATTGGTACACGGGAGAAGGCATGGATGAGATGGAGTTCACCGAGGCGGAGAGCAACATGAATGATTTGGTGTCTGAGTACCAGCAGTACCAGGATGCAACTGCTGACGAAGAAGAGTACGAGGATGAAGAGGGTGAGGAGATTTACGAACAGTAAATCACATGGCCAAACAGCTTGAGTTTGCCGCAACATCATGACTTTGTTCCCTTGTTGCTAATTCTCTTGCTCTAGGAAGTTATAGCAGTGACTGAGGATATGGCATATCTTTGGGATGAGTACACCTTGAACTTCCTGATGGCTATGTGAATTTTTACATATTCTGGTTATAACTGCTACATATCATATATTTCTAGCTATGTTGGATATGATTTGTGTGAAGTGACTATGAACTTGAGAGTGTTATGTTTGTTATTTTCGGTGCTTTGAAGCCATAACTATTTCTCTTTGCTGGTCCGCTTTGGATACCAAAACGTTTTGCAATTGTATCCCAAGTTTTTGTGAGATTCTTAGCCCCTGTTTGTATAACAGAAAAAGAGATTTGGCATTTAGGTTCGTACGATTCGCATGTTGTTGTATTTCCAGTTTTTGTGTTTTCAAAATTTAGATGTTAATTCATTACCAAATGAACAGTTTGCAATTTTCGGAATTTCGATTATCCTCAAAAGAACAACCTAGGTTATGTGTCCCTTTGCTTCTTGTAATGAGGTCAAAAGGTTTTAGTAAGCAAATATTCATCTCTCTCGTTTGTAAGTTTTTTTGATGGAGCTTAGTAGTTTTTTTGATGCGGGTATCTCTAATTTGAGCAACTGCAGCCGGACCATTCTCATCTTCCAGTAATTTTCACTAATAAGGAAACCGCAACTTACCAGCGTAAGAATCAGAAAGTTCAAAGAAGTTCGCCCATAACGAAGAAGGACGCACAGCTTTTGGGAGGGAGCAAAATATGAAATCAGAAAGAATTACCGGTTTAGTTAGTCAAAAGATTATGAACGGTTTGATGAATTCAACAGACAATTAGACAGATACCACCTTCATGATTCTCAAATGGTCCTTCTGATTTGCTACCTTCTAACGAAACCGCCATTTCGATGAGTGGTATTACATAGTACATACACCAATGTTCACTGCAAATTGATAGCTGTGTGTAGAAAAATAACTCAATTGTGAAATAACTTGAGGTCACACAGAGAGGATGAATTAGTTTTATCAGGTTAAATATGAACATGATAAGACCCATTCGCCTATGATTCACATTCGACGTGAACTCCCCACAAAAGATCACTTTTATCTGTAGGGAGCAAGGAGGAGAATGTTGACAGGATCAATTTTGATGAATGGCACGCTGAGTGGTTCTTCCCACCTAAGTGTAGAAGAAGATAAACCACACAAAAACTTATACGGCTCATGAGAAACTTCCTCTGGTACTAAGATTCTGCACTAGGAACAATGGAGATAGACTTCTATGTGCAAGTAACATAAATTCCTATGATAGTTGCTCGGAGGTGCGAACACATTATAAATCATAGGGAAATTTTTGAAAAACGACCTTTTCTCAAATTTAATAGGCAAAACCGATCGCCTAACAAAATATTTGGCAAAATCGACCCTTTTTTACACGGGACCACTAGTCCCGTGCAAAAAAAGAGGTCGAATTTTCCAAATCAACTCCCCCAGACGCCGTCGTCCTCCCTTCCCAACTCACCCAACAGGCCGTCGTCCTCGGTCCACACGCCGTCGTCCTCCATACTCCCAATCCACGCGCCGCCCCTCCTCAGACCAGCCCTCGCTAGCCTGCCTCCCTCCGCCCTGCACTCCAGCCCCCACACCACCGCCGCGCTGACTAGCCGCCCTCCCTTCCGTAACCCCGAGCTCCAGCCGCAACGCCTCCACCCCAACACCTTAGATCCGCCTCTCACGTCGTCGCCTCCCCGACGCCGTCGCCCCTCCCCTTCGCTGCCGCCGCGCTCCTCAATCCACACGCCACACGCCCGGCAAGCTCCCCCAACCTCAGCCGCCTCGCCAACAGCCCCGCCAACCTTCGCTGCGCAGATCTCGATCAGCCCAGCGCCGCTTCTTCCTATCTTTCCGACACCGCCGACCGCTATCATCGCACAGCCCCCTCCCCGCTCCGCCCAGCTCGGCAGACGCTCGCCAGCTCGGCACCTCCGCCCCCTTCATCTCTCAGCGCTCTATGGTGCAACTCTCTTTCGAGCTCACCTGCCCCCCAAACCAGCAGCCCCGCTCGTCGCCGCCTTCATCTCAGCCCACCGCGGGAACCCTCAGCCGCACCGCGGCGGGATAGCTGGCGCGCGGCGTCGGGTAGGCGGAGCCGCAGCGTGGGGGGTGATGGGCGGAGAAGCCGGCGGAGACGACGAGAGCGAAGAGAGCAACAGAGGAGAACCGGGGACTGGAGGAAAGCGGAAAGAAGGCGGGGGGGGCTTATTGATTTGGCAAAAACAACCCTTTTTCGCACGGGACTAGTGGTCCCGTGTAAAAAAGGGTCGATTTTGCCAAATATTTTGTTAGACGGTCGGTTTTGCCTATTAAATTTGAGAAATGGTCGTTTTTCAAAATTTTCCCTAAATCATACAGATAAAACTGAGAATGAAGGAAATAGAGGAATAAACTAAACATGCCGGGGGTTGCACACACTTGTTTAACACTCATATCTACCACCATATTTGCACTATATTAGTTATCCCATATTCATCAAAGAAAAAACTAGAAAGGGACAATGAAGCAACATTTAGACATAAAACATCCGGAAAATACCATACTTTCTATTCTTGATGGAAAGCATAGCAATTGTAAAATCTTGGCACAAAAGCTACAAATTCCATCAGCTAACAAGACGACACAAGTACAAAACAAATCATACAGAGACACAGATGTACAACGCAACAATGCTCACCTCAAGCTTTCTCCTTTGCATCACTTCCTACAACTTTGATTTCATCAAATCCAATCTCCTTGCTCCCTATCTCACCATCAAGCTCAGGATACTCTACAGGAGTAATTGGATGCCTCTTAGCAGCTTTAGACCGCAAGAACAGCACAAGGGATGCTATGAAAGCCCCGAAAACAACGCCAACCAACAAAGCCACGAGAATTTTCCATGGAGAGCCTTTTCTTGTATAAGCCTCCGGGCCTTCACGATACCGCATCGAGATCGATTCGGGGTCTAAAGGCTCGGAATGCATTTGATAATTGACCCCGTGCTTAACCTCGAAGCTCCACGAATAGATATTACTGGTTTTGGTAGAGTTCCCCCTTGGAGAAGAGCTTATCCCAACGTACATTGCATCTCTCCACAGAGCATTCGATAAATTGATTCGGCATGAGACCAAAGCTTTCTCAGGCCTCAAACCCCTAGATTTGCTAACTCTCACTTCTAGCATCTTACTAGCCCCATCGTAATCAATCCAAGCATACGACCTTCGCTCACTACTCAAAGCCAAACTGAAATCAGACGGACTGCTATTTCTCGCAGCAATCTCACCACCAACATCAACAGCAATGCTGCTTCCACTGTCATCGGCATCAAACTTCACGGCGAGAAACTTCGGCGAAACCCCAAACTTAGAAAAATTGCCCGGGACAAGCAAGAAAGCTAAACTTCCATCGTACCCGCCGGAGACTGAGAAAGAGAAGCTGGTCGAAAACCCAGGGTTAGGGTTAATCCCAAAGAACCTAATGGGTCTCTTGCACATAACCCGCCCTTTACCGAACGCCAAAACCCCAGAATTACTCACCTCAGCGTCACCGTAGAGAGCAACTCGTGAAACAAAGCGGCCATCTTTCTCAAACTTTCCGAACGAAAACGAAAAGGGGGAGCTCTCACCAACCGATTCGCTCCTCATAGCGAGCAAACAAAGCAACGACAGAGCAGTGAACCTCGAAACAAGCGAGGACGCCATGGCCCAACCGTGAAGGCTCGGTGATTTCGCCCCAAGATTCGACCTTTGCCAGGGTTTTCACCTAAAGAAGCGATCTTTTTCCACCGGCGTCGGCTGGGGGCTGAACGGTATGAAGCGCGGAGGGCGTTAGATTCGGGTTGGTGGGGGCCAGAGATGCGAATTGGGGGAGAAATTAGGGTTTGGGGAACAGGAGACGGAGCAAATTGAAGAGCTCGAAACCCTAGAAGAATCTCACCATCAAGAGCGCACTTATTCCAGGTCACGAGCCCGCCGTGGGGTTTTTAATCCGTTGGGAATAAAGTAGTTCGGATGAGGTGGGCCCTACGGCGATCCGACACGTGTTGTTTTACTAGTGAAGAGGTTCGGTGTTCGCTGCTTGGCGTTCTCAGTTGATTTTGGTTAGCACCAAACGACAAAGGAATTGGGACGGGGGTGCGCTTTATTGAGGGCCGTTTTTTTGCATGAAAGTGGCTTCATGAACTGTTAAAAGTCCGTGGTGGGGCCCAAATTAATAAATGATAGCCTACTCCGGTCTCTTTCGAGTGGCCCAGGAGGGTAGTGAAGTTGAATATAATTAAACTTTTGGGATATTAGCGTATGAAAGTTAAGAGAGTGACAGAATGGGTAAATTTAAATGTGGCGAAGAGAAAATAAGCCATGGGAGGGACAGTGGTTAATGTGGGCCTTGGACCGTAGAAACACAGCAGGCCCAGTTAAGGGTCCAAGGCGGGACTTTGTTGGACCGTAGAAACCCAGCAGGCCCAGTTAATTAAGTTGCACAACAGTTATCTTTTTGTAGAATACATTCACGGAATGTTTCTTTCCGTAGGGGGTTATATCATATCATACTTATTCCCTTTAAAAGCACGAGTTCGGAAAATTTTTTTTAGACAAATATACCCTTTTATATTTTAAACTATCTTATCTATAATCAAATTCTAATTTTCAATGGTCAATATTACCCTTCACTATTTTGAATATTTTATTTATATCTTAATCTATCCTAATCATAATCATATCTTATCCTAATCCTATATGAACCATGTTTAGCTTAACAATTTAAAAAAACTAATATTAATAAAATATATAAAACATAAAAATAATATTAGTTTGTTAAGATAAAGAAATTACAAGTAGATAACATATTATAATACATGAAGTATTGCAAAAAACCATAAAAAGTTTTAAAATTGCAGAAAAGACCCTAAAAAATTTAAAATTATAAAACTCATCCAAATGTCTCAAAACTTAAAATAAAAAACATGAAATTAAAAAATTAACATCAGTTTGCAAAAAATTTAAATTTTACAGTTAACACCTCAATGTCTCAAAAATTATAGAAACACCCTCAAAAGTTTAAATTACAGACAAGCACATTAAAATTCTAAAATTTTAAAACTTACAAACAACACAGATGAATTCAAGAGATTACCATGATACACCTAAAATTTTTGACATTTAAATTTAAAATTTTTAATTAACACCCTCAATATCTCAAAAATTATAGAAACACATTCAAAAGTTTAAATTATAAAAAGCCACCCTAAACTTCTAAAATTTATAAATAAAATAAGATGAATTCAAGATATTACCCTTAGACATCTAAAAAATTAAAATTTACCAAAATTAACCTCAAATTTTTTTAAAAACTCATTCAAAAAAAATTAAAATTTGCCAAAATTAACCTCAAAATTTTTAAAAAACTCCTTCAAAATTTAAAAATCGAAAAAAAACTCTAAATTTTCAAAATTTTTAACTAGCACACATCAAATTCGTCGATTGGTAGACCGCTGAAATTTAATATTTTTCAAAATTAATCTATAGTTTTAATAATTATAAAAAACACCCTCAAAATTTTAGATTTACAAGAAATATACTAACATTTAAAAAATTACCACCAACACATGAAATATAAAATTTACAACTACCAAACTTAAAAGTAAAATTTTTTAAAAACTCTTTCAAAATTTTAAAAATTATAAATCACACCCTCAAAGTTCAAAACCACAAAAATGGGCTAAAATTTTAAAACTTGGCAAAGAAAAGTGTAATTGTTTGGTATTTTTCATATATATATATATTAAAATTTCTAATTTAGGGATTTACTATCCATTTTCAACATCTAAGAATAGTCTAAGTTGATACTGGTAAACAAAAACAATAAGAATTGATTAAAAACATCCGGTTAATGGATAAAATTTTTAAAAATATTATAGATTAAAAATTATCGGCACTATATAAATTAAAGTAATTTCATATAATTTTAGTAATAAGTTGGGGTAGCCAAAATACATTCGTAACATTAATTGATAGATGTTTAAATCCATAGAAATGATAAAACACTATAATATTATACCTTAGCATTAATTGATTTTAATTTAGAAACTTTAATCTTTGACGTTAATAATATTTATAGGGTAAAAGAATACAAGGAATTACATATGGAGAAACTATTAGAATATTTAGAGATAACTTTAAAAGAATTGAGTTATTTCCATTGCAAATGGGAAAGTGATGGAAATAAATCTAAAATTCAGAAAACGTCAATGAATCACTTGAATTGGCATTAACATAAGACATATCTATTAATGAAGCACTGAATGAGTTACATTAAAAAATAATTTAATAACTTTATCCTAATCAAAGAAAAAATCTCCATGGAAGACATAAGAAAAATTAGTAAGTATTCATAAATTCCATACTGTGTTCTTCAAATTAAATATTAATATTATAATCTAAGAGAAATTAGTAATGAATAATGCAGGTATTTATTTTAGATCTTTATGAAAAATGATAAGGATAGAGCAAAGGTAATATTATTGAAATAACAGAAATTCTTATTGGATGCACATCAGAAGAATTCATTTTAGAGGAAAATAAAGAGATAGCTTCTAATTTATTTAAGTAATAAATTAGGAACACAAAGAATTTTATATATATGAAATTAATATTTATTCTCATTGAAATAGAAAAAAATCAAAGTCTATATTTTGAGCAGTTTGTGTTGAACATCATAAGTACATTTGACTTCTTTGTAAAGTTAAATGAGATGATAAAAAATTAACGAGCCTAGGAAAGATAATAGCATAAAAAATACAAAATTAGCCTGATGTCACAATTGATGTAGATGATGAAGACAATACTCTAGAATTGTCCGAGAAATGATAAATGATAAACCTGAAGAAGGATTGATCTTAACTCAATAAAAAATAAAATAGAAGAAATAAAAACAATATTTTATGAATATTTTATAGAATAGTTTAATTATTTTGAGTGAAATTAGGAATCTTTAGAAGGGAGTTTCATGAATTTTTTTCAGTACTTTTATATTCTTATGTGGATGTTTTTATCATATAAAAGTATACTAGAGTTAGCATTAATCTTTAATTTATATTTTTTTATGAAGTCTATCAATGATTAGGAATAAACTTCATATTCTCTTTTGCATCGTTTTAACATACTTTAAATCAATCATTTTGCCATATTGGTTTTAAATATTCACCTTCCTTGTATAACACTATTTTAATATTTTTCACTTTGCAATGCTATACTTTCTCAAATAAAGCTTAGTTTCATATCGGTCAAAAATAATATGAAAATTCAAATTATTTTTAAATTATATTTGTTTTTTGTCAATTCAAATATCAACATGAAAATTTAAATTGGGTGTATCCCATTTAAACAAACATAAAAAAATAATCGGGATGTAAGAGTTTAAAGAAAAAAATGAGCACAAACTGCCAAAAATACTTAATCATGGTATTAAATCACGTGCATTGCACGTGTGTAAAAACTAGTCAATGATAAAAGCACATGTTGACTTTCGTGTCAGCTTCACATAGTTATGTCCCCGGAAACGTAGCCCCTGAACGCGGGGGGAAAAATATCATAGAGATGCGAGGACTCTTTATTAAAAAAAGGTATATGCGGAAACTGAGTTGCACATACATTTATATTTTGTTTGAAATGATCGATATTCTACCTGTTAATACTAATTTTATTGTTCGTACGTACTTGCTTTTACCCATACCGTGTTGAGGCAATTTCCAGGAGCCCAAAGGTCAAGTACATCTTTGTCCAGGAGCAATAATCGGAGTCATATCATCCACTTGGCACAATAATCCAAGCAAGATCCTCCAACATATCTCCCGCGCGCCATCTTTGATCAGCGTCTCTAATGCAATCAATGCTAGAAGTTGCCCTTCGTGAGATAGAGATTATCCTCATGCGTCTCGGCCAGAAACACCATGCATGTCACATCGATCGTAATTAGGTAAACAAACATCAGCCCGATTCTCTGATCGTAATTAGGTGGTGTAACCAAATTATCAAGG